TCCAATATCTTTGCCAAGAAAACCCCAAATGGTGTTAGGAAGAGTTGGACATGACTGAACAATAGCACAGGGTACCTGGCACATAGTAGGTGCTATATAAATGCTTATCCCCTTCCCCCTCCTTATCCAGGGAGTTATTCCTTATTCTAATAAAATATATTCCCTTACTCTCCAAATGCCAAAAAACTGGTCTTAAACCAAGTATCAGACAGCATCTATTCCTGCATCAAGTGCCAAGAGATATACAGGCCACTCACAATGCACCTGGGTACAACCCTCTAGGTAAATCTAATTTGGACATCACCCCTAAACTGCTCCCTCCTACTGGTCAGCAGAAATGCCAAGACATTCTCCAGTCACTGTGTGGTCTGGATTCTCTACATGAGAACAGAGCTGGCATTATACACATTATACACATTTAATCTGTCCCATTCTACATGCTCCCAAGTTTTCCTGTCTGTGTCCTGACTTCATCCTTCCACCCCACTCCCACCCTCCTTAGTCATAACTGTTTCACTAGCTTGCTGTGTGACCTTAGTCAATTCCTCATTCTGAGCCTTGGTGTTTTCTCATCTACAAAAAGTGTGAACGGATCTCTGGTCCCTCCCACTTCTGACAGTCTGGAGGCCTATAGATTCTATTATACCGGGAAATTCTAGGAGGCAGATTACATTACATGTGGAAATCCCAGAGGGTTCATTCAGATCCAGCCTTACTAGCTGTGTGATTCTGGGCAAATCACTCAATGTTGTACCTTAATTTCCTCAATTGTAAATAAAGGGGTTGGACCAATAACGCCTCTAAAGTACTATTTATATGAGGAAATCCCACAGAGTTCATTCAAATCCAGTCTTACTAGCTGTGTGACCCTGAGCAAATGACTTAATCCTACCTGCCTCAGTTTCCTCATCTGTAAAATGAGCTGGAGAAAGAAATGGTAAACCACTCCAGTATCTTTGTCAAGAAAATTAAAAAAAAAAAACCAAAACTCTCCAAATGGGGTCAGGAAGAATTAAACACAACTGAAAAATGACTGAACCAACTGAACTCTGTAACTATAATCAACAATAAGACGGTCATCTGGATCTCACCCCTTGCCATACTGGGGGGCTCTCAGGGAAGGATACATATTGCTGGATAATCTCTATAATCACTAACATTTCTATCCATTGCTGCCACCATCCACCACCACCATCCACAAGTATCTAAGGCTTCACACTTCCAGGTCAATCTGTGTATCCAGCAATTGGCTCCATTTACCATTAAAAGGAGTTTTACAAACAGGATCGGGAAAACACATCCGGACAATAAAATCCTAATGCATCCGACTAAAACCAAACATCAATAACTTCTGGTTCATTCATTGTTTGGAAAGATCCATGACACAGCTCCTCACCAATTAGGGCATTTGATTTAATTTAACCATAGTGAGTTGCATGATCAGTCACTAAGCCTACCAAAAGATCTACTCCCCATCCTTGGGGATAGCGCAAGAGTGATTTCGGGTAAAAAGAAGAAGGGGATCACTAGTAAGGATTAGATGTTGTGAGCCCAGCTTGGCCCCAAATACTATGAGATCACCCCCTCCTCTGATGAGGTATTGGGGTGGGAAAGGACAGAATAAACATTTATTAATTGCCTTCTATGTGCCAGGCACTGTTCTAAGGGCTTTACAAATATTATCTCATTTGATCCTCACAACAACCCTGAAAAGTAAATGTTGTTATGATTCCCATTTTACAGATGAGGAAACTGGGACAGGCAGAAGTAATAATTGTCTAAGAACACATTTCAACTTAGATCTTCCCAATTCTAGGCTTAGTCCTCCATTCTACTCCATTACCGACATTCCTATGGGGCAGTTATAGGTCTGGGATACTGAATATAATTTCAGAGTTTCTTGATATGTTGTTCAGTTTGCAGAACTTTTTTTCTTTCTTCATACTTTATAGCTCTCTGGGGTGGGGTGAAGAGAGGAACACAAAAGGAAATACAGATGATACAAAAACAAAATATAGCCATAAAAGTTAATTTTTCAAAAAAGATTATGTGGTACCCCAACTCTGGGTTCCAGAACCAGCTACTGGTTCCTGGAAAGGAATTGTTCAAAAAGCATTAGATTTGGAGTGAGAGGGCCTGAATTCAAGTCCCAGTTAGTCACTTCCCTCCCTGGGACTCAGTTTCTTCATCTGCAAAAAAAAAAAGCTTTTTTCCCCCAATATGTTGATCAGTTGTGCTGAATTTTTTTTTTCTCTTTTTCCTCTTTAAACAAAAAATATTTTTTGTGATAAGGGATGGCTCTTTGGGAGAGGAAGGAGGAAGGCCAAGAGCAAAATCTAGGCAATGTAAAAACAAAAGTTATCAATTAGAATGCCTTTTTTTTTTTAATGAAGGAGTTGAAACTTGGCCCTGGAGAAGAGTTGGGAAAATAAGCCTTTGCAAAGGGGGAGAGCTGTAGATCTGGAATATTGTACCAGATGTCAGAGACAGTTGACGTATTTGCTGAATGACTTTTCTTCCTCTTTCTTTTTTAATCTTTGTTTACAAAGAATGGTTGCTGGGTAGACGAGGTATATATTCTGAAATATAGGTGATGTAAAACCAAAAGTTTTTTTTTTTTTTCCAAAAGGGGTGGGGGTTGGCCAACATTGAAAGATTTCAAATGACTCGGCTCTAAATCTAAGATCTTAGCACTTGGGTGTGGCCTCAGACAAATCACTTAACTTCCCAGTAAAAAGCAGCATAATACTTCTACCTACTTTGCATGGTTTTAAGAAAAGGACTGTATAGATGTGGGCCCGTGATTATTCTCTTCCTCGAAGGAATTACTGGGAAATACTCCTTCCTGACCTCCCCTCCTTCTTGACCTCCCCTCCTTCTGACTTTATCTCTGCTCAGTAAGCCTACTCCCCAAAGGTACTGGGGAGAAGAGTGAGAAAATTAAATGATCCATCCCAGGACTTGTTGGGGGAAGGGAAATCAAGGAAGGGAAAGTGGGTGTGCAACACTGATCTCACAGGACTATAGAATTAGAACCATTACTGGAAAGAACTTCTGAAATTCTTTAGTCTGGTACATAGCAGACACTCAGTTATTGAGTGAATGAATGGGGAAGAAATGGAAGAGATGTCTCCCAGCACTAACACTGGGAGATCTGGGGTTAAATGAGATTTAGAATTCCAGAAGATCCCACTCCAACCCCGATTCCCCCCACACACCTCCAAATAAATACTCAATAATCTAAAACTGGTTGGTTTCACATGGACAGCCCCTGGGCCGAGCCCCTTCAAACTCCTCTTGTCTAGAAGGCATGTGATCAGAGAAGGATGAGGAAAGTCAAACACTGAAGGCATACATATACTCAAGATCATTGAAGTAACCTGCTTCTTTCGAGGCACTCTTGGGAAGCTGTCCATGCAGGCTGTGGTCTAAGCGTTAGCACATGTAGACTGTCACAGGCTAGGTCCCCTGGAGAGGGTTACCACATTACTGATGGATCCTGCCCCAAACTCAGATATATCCAGACATAATCCCACTTCTTCCTCCCCACACCCCACATCAAATCCATTCCCACCGGGGGAGGAGAGAAAAGCCAGGTCCCCAGCAATTGGTAGCTCAGACAGGACCTGGGAGAAGACAGCTCAGAGAGAATCATGGCACCGTTGAAAGGGACCTCAGAGATTATACAGTTAAGACCTAGAAAGGAAGTTATCTAGTAGCAACCCTTCATTTTACAGATCATAAGAGGAAATTGAGGCTTGAGAGACAAAATGACTCTTATCCAAGGTCAGACAGGTTAGTAAGCAGCATTCAAGTTCAGGCTCTCTGACTTCAAATCCAGCATTCTTTTTTTTTTTTAAATCACTTCGATCTTTATGTCCAAACCCCCAAAAAATAATAATAATTTAACAGATGAGGAAACTGAGACCCAAGGTCACATAATCAATGGCAGACCTGGATACTACCAGGTCTGCTTACTTCCACTCCCAATGCTGCTGTCCAGGGGAAGCAAAGGGAGAAATGAGAGTAGATCAGCTCCTTTTTGGAGTCCCTCTTTTCCTCCTCCCCACCACACCCCACTCCCACCACCTTGTTTTACCAGATTTCTGGGTCCCAAGCTTTCAAGGGAAAGTGATTTTCCTTAACCTTTCTATTCCGACCCTCCAACTACTCAACCCTCCCCCTGCCAACCCCTTGCTGCCAACGTTATCTCTAAAGCATCCATCCCTTACTGCTGCCTCCCTACCCCAGATAGGTGCTCACAGACACCTTCTGACTTTGAGAGACAGGGTGTGCTTCCTACCCTCATCCCTTCAAAGGCTGAGAGGGGCTGGCCTAGATAAAGGCTCCCAACCTCTCGGATGGAGGGAGTGGGGGGAGAGAAAAAGGAGCCACTCCTTCCCGCTCCAGGCCCAATAACCTGGGACACCCACCAGCCCCAAACTGATCCCAGACAAGAATAAATGAGAACAGACACCCGAGCTGGAACACCGGCTCCCAGGAAGTTAATGTCAATGCCAGGGTCGCAGATCTGGAGGTTCTCTTCCTATGTAACCCTTTGCAGCCCATGGCGCCAGCCCCAAAGCTAGCGTCTGGCACTGACCTCCTCTGACCTGCCTAAGGTCAGGGAGGCTTGGTTCGCCGGGGGCGGCGGGGGGGGTAGGACCACGTTCACATTCAAAGACACCCAGACACAGGGATGGATACCTGGCTGGGGGCGACGGCGCGGCGGGGGTAGGGGGAAGGATTAGGTCCCCTTCATCCTGCAGTCCTCAAGGCAAAGCAGGTGGGGAGTGTGATGGAGTCAAAAGTCAGGAGAGGAAACAAAGTTTGGGGTGGGGGTGGGAGGCGAGGGGAGGGACTGACATTGAAGCTGACTCACTCTGCCAAGAGACCCCTCTCCCCTGGGTCACTGATGTCCTGGTGGCCAAACAGCCCGACGCAAGAGAGGGGAGGAGACCCCAGCGCCCTCCCCCGGCCCCGCATCAGGGCGCACTCACCAGGACGCGGTTAAACCTCTCCTCCAGCTCTCCGGCCCCGGGCATCGGCTGTTTCGGGGTTGCAGGCTGCTTGTGGGGCAGGGCGGCAGGGGCCGGAGGGTGATCCCCGCTGCCCGCCGCGTTGCCCATGGTGCTGCCCACCCAGCCCGCCAGACGCCTCCAGGCTCCGAAATCCAGCTTTCCAGGGGGTGGGAGCTCCAGACCTGCAGGGGTGCCCGGGGGCAGCAGCTCCGGCGGATGGGTGTCTCGGCGGCCCCCGGCGCTCAGTCCATGGTGCCTGGGCAGGCGGCTGGCAGCTGGGGGACCCTGGGCGCCGCGGGCGTCCCGTCCAGGCTGCCTCCCGGGGAGCGGCGGAGCACAGCCGGGCGGGCGGGGCGGAGGAAGTCAGGCTGCGGGCGGCCAGGCCGGGGCCCGAGGGCTGGGGCTGGGGAGGGGGTGGAGGCGGCAGGAAGCGGCGGAGGCTGCCTGCGCCGGCTCCCCCCTCCGCGATCTCCTAACTTCTGGTCTCGTTCCCTTTACGCGCAAAGCCAAACCGCATTTCACTGCGCACTCAGCCCCGGGGGGGCGGGCGGGAGAGAGGGCGGGGGCCGAGGGGCAGGGCGCGGCCCGAGAGGAAGCGCGGACCCTAGGGCCGGTCCCCGGAGGCGGGAGCGTGGGGCACCGGGGAGCCATGGCCCGCCGAGGGGGAGGGGGCGGCCGAAACCGATTCACCTGCTGCAGAGGGAGCGGGTAGCTGGGCGGCGGAGCTGCCGCTGTCGGCTGGGGCGGCGCCGCCTCAGGGTCCTAAAACCTCTCTTTGCTCTGGTCCACGAGGGTCTGAAGATTGGGAAGGGGGGCGGAGACTACGGGCAGGGGATGGCACACGCGAAGGGGCACCTAAGGCCGGGGGAACGGGGAATGGGCGGGAGAAGAGGGGGAGGCTGGGACCAGGAGCTGGATGAGGAACCCCGCTTCCTCTCCCCTTGCCACTCATTTCTGAGATCTTTTGGGGAGCCCTTGGAAGGAGCACAGATGCAGTAACCTCTTCCACATCCACTGGGGGAGGAAGCCCCTGTGGTAACAACGAGACCCGAGCACGGAGTGCCTGCTTTGGGTCACAGTCCTTGGGAACCACTGCCTTCAAGCATCACCTTGTTTCTACGAGCCTTTCCTGACACCTCTTCCTCCTCCCTAATGCAACTGTCCTCTGGCTCTCAATACCTTATACTGCATGCACTAAGACTTTTGTCATTCCTTGTATTTATCTTGTACTTGCCTGTATATGCACGTGTCTTCTACAGGATATAACCTCTTTGAGATTACGGATTTTTTCTTATTTTTTGTATTTATAATCCCAGAACCTAGCATAGTGCCTAATTCTAAGGAGAGGTGTAATAGCTAGCTAACAAGGGTTTATTAAGGTTTATTCCATACTGGGCATTGTGCTAAGTTCTGGCAAAAACACAGTATCGATCTCCAGCAGCTAATGGGGGAGAACACCATGCAAATAACTATGTACATACAAGATATATACGGTAAAAGTGGGAGGTCATCTCAGACAGAAGGCATTAGCAGTAGAGGACTCCGGCTGAAAGTGGTGTTTGAACCAAGTCTTTGAATGAAACCAGGAGGTAGAGTTGAGAATGGGAAGTAGGCATGGCAGGCAACCAAGGAAAAAGCACCGAGTTGATTGACTGACTGATTGATTGATCCATTAAGGTCAAGCTTGCCAAGCTGCAGGGCAGTAGTAGGAACAGATACCTAAAGATAGGTCACAGCCTCCTACACTGACTGGAGCATCCTTTTCCTAGGAACTGATGCCCATCATCTGCCCCAGCCTGTTCTGATTGTAATATGGGGGAGGGGGGGAGGGCTGTGCAACGTGTGGGTCTGCTGCCTTCAGTCTCTCATCACTCCAAGCCTGTCTCCATTCAGCCACCAAAGCAATTTCCCTAAAGCACAGGTCTGACCGTGTCACACACACACACACACACACACACACACACACACACACACACACCCTCAATAAACTCCAGTGGCTCCCTATTACCTCCAGGATGAAATACAAAATGCTCTGTTTGGCATTCAAAGCCCTTCTGAACCTGGCCCCTGGCACTCCAGTCTTCTTACACCTCACTCCCTGACACATACTCTGCAATCCAGAGACACTGACTTCCGGCTGTTCAGTGAACAAGACATTTCATCTCTCATCCTCTCCTACTGGCTTCCCTGACTTCCTTTAAGCCTCAACTAAAATCCCACCTAATACAGGAAGCCTTTCCTAACCCCTCTTAGTTCTAGTTCCTTCCTTCTTTTAATTATCTCCTATTTATTCCATGTCTGGCTTGTTTGTACATATCAGTTTGCTTGTAGTAAGCTCCATCAGAGTGTGAGCTCCTTGGGGGTGGGGATCATCTCTTGCCCCCTTTTGTATCCCCAGTGCTTAGTACAGTGCCTGGTACCTAGTAGGTACTTAATAACTGTTTATTGACTGACTGGGGGATTTCAGGACCCCAGCCCGATTCCTGCTGTTACCCAGCTATTCATGCTGAAGGTAGTAGTTTATAGGACCCAGCTAATTGGATTTGGGATCAGAAGAGTCTCAGAATAAGAAGGATCTCAGAGGCCACAGTCCAAGCTTTGCCTGAATTCCGATTGCATCCCTCCTCCTCCCCCCCCCACCCTACCTCACTACTAGCCACTGGTCTCTCAACACCTAAAAATCTCAGTTCTTTCTCAGGAAAATTAGGGGACTTGATTACTCTACTAAAATCCTACTGTGATACCTCAGCTATCTACCAGGAAGATGACCCAGTGGAACTATAAGTTCTCAAGTTGGAAAGCTTAATGATAATAGCTAACATTGATGGAGCACCTACTATGTGCCTGGCATTGTACCATGCCCTTGACAAATATTATCTCATTTGATCCTCACAACAATCCTGGGAGGTAGGTGCTATTATTATCCCCATTATACAGATAAGGAAACTGAGGTTAAATAACTTGTACAAGGTTACACAACTAGGGAAGTGTCAGAGGAAAGATCTGAACATGGGTCTTGCTGACTTCAGGTACAGTGTTGTATCCACTGTACCACCTAGCTGCGGATGGGGGGGGGGGGGGGGGGGGGGGGGGAGTGGGGGCAGAGTTAGGGTCTAGCCTGCTCTGTATATGTTTTCTGAGGACCAGCCTACCTAAGTTCTGAGAGGATCCTCACCATGGTAACCACAGGGCAATGTTTTATTTTGTTTTGTTGTTTTGTTTCCTCAAAGTCCATCCATGGCATAATAGAGGGGCTGTACTCTTCCATGGCCAGAGGGAGGACCCACACAGAGGAAATCTCAGTTCTTTGACCACTGAGAGGATTCTCTCCAAGGTTCCTTTTAGGTCTATAGCCTTTTTACCATTTGAGTAATAACAGGAAAAAAAAAACCCTTAAAAACACATTTCAATGAATCAGTGTCTGGGGAGAGGAAAGCAGTCCTGAGAGGGCTCTGAAAATTAATGGAGACAAGAACAGCCCAACTTTGACTCTCCCTCTATTCACAACCATTGCAGAACCACAAGTAAGAATTCATATTAAGGGGCAGCTAGGTAGCACAGTGGATAGAGTACCGGCTGTGGAGTCAGGAGGACCTGAGTTCAAATGTGACCTCAGACACTTGACACTTACTAGTTGTGTGACCCTGGGCAAGTCACTTAACCCCATTGCCTAGCCCCCCAAAAAAATTCATATTAGAAGGTAGGGCAGGGCCCAGATTCCACATAGTCTTGGGGAGTTTGAAGGCAGAACCATGGCTTCCTTGGAGTCCAGAGCTGAGCAGGCGATGCTGACCTGATGGTAACCCTTTGAACTGCCAAGGTCACTGGACACTGGTCACCATAAACTCCAGTACCCCTAGATGGGACATCCTCCACTTCATTTCCTGGAAGAGGATATAGAGGTGGAGTGGAGGGTGGAGTGAGGTCTGGACAAAAGTTCCTCAAGAAAACACTAGGAATCTGCTGAAACCCTAGATACCGCCAACCCTTGTTCTAAAATGTAGTTCTTGCCCCTTGAGCTCCGCTGGGGCTAGAAAGGGATCAAGACCTTGAGCTCAGGGGCTACTATCCCCTGGTATTAGAGGAAGCAGCTACTACAAATCCCCCATCATAACTTACTAAATTCAGCAACAAGCATTTTATTGAGTGCATAGGCACATTTAACACAGTGTGTTAAAGGACCAGGCAGGCACTGTAGGGCATGCAGAGATTCCACTTAGTAAACATTCAAGCACCTACTGTGTGCACAAGACATTGTACAAAGCTGGGGATACAGAGATAAAAATGTATCTGCCCTCTCCAGGCTTCCATTCCAGGGAAGAGAGAAGATACAACCCATATGCAGATAAGTTAATATAAGGTTATTTGGAGAAGGAGAAACCATTAACTGGGGGATAAAAGTGGGGAAGAGGAGGATTATGGGGGCTTATTTCAGCCCTTCAAAGAGCTTGCAATTTAGTATTGAATATAATAAGAACACACAATTGTAATATATACTAGAATGTGATGAGTGATGCTGCTTCATAGGGGAGGTGGCATTTGATATAAGAAGGGCATCTAAGGTTGAAAGAAGGTCAGCATTTCATGGGTCAGAGACAGAGGATGAGGACATGCTGAGGGCAGTGAGCAGCCTGAGGAAAGACTGGGAAGGACGTGGAACGTTCAGCAGTTTACACTCACTAGAACATATGTTATGCAAGAGAGACTGTTAGGAATTACATCTGGAGCCAGAGCTTGGAAGGCCTTGAAGGAGTCTGTATTGTATTCAGCAGACAATAGGCAAAAGCTTCGGAGCAGAGGCCAAGATGATCATGTGAGTGGCAGTGGTGGGACAGTCCAACCAAAAAGCAACAAGCCTTTATTTAGCACTTACTGTGTACCAGGCACTGTGATAAATGCTTTACAACACCAGGAGGTAACATGGGAGGTGGAAGACCAGGAGGGAGCTGTGTATTGTCTCAGGGTGCCTGCTGTGGTCCCCATACCTGGGATACTGTTATCTAATAATAAGTGCTATTATTATTCCCCAGTTGGGGACACCAAGGAAGACTAAGTGGCTTGCCCAGGGTTACACAGCTAGTAAGTGTCTCAGGCCAGATTTGAACTCAGGTCTTCCTAACTCCAGGTCCAGGGCTCTATCTCCTACACCATCTAGCCACCTAGATGGAGAAAGTAAAACTGGAAGCAGGGAGACCAGAGGCTATTACAATGATAATAGCTAACATTATAAGGTGCTTACTGTGTACCAGGTAATTTATAATTATTATCTTGTTTGACCCTTACAACAACACTGGGAGGTAAGTGCCATCATTATTCCCATTTTCCAGATGAAGAAACTGAGGTTAAGTAACTTGCCCAAGGCCACACACCTAGTGTCTGAGGCCAAATTTGAACTCAGGTCTTCCTAACCCTGGGACCGGTGATATATTCATTACACCACCCAGCCACCTAGATGGAAGAGGTGAAACTGGAGGCAGGGAGACCAGAGGCTGTGACAATAGACTGGATGAGAGGCCCCGGACCAGGATGATGGCAACAGGAATCTAAGGGCTCACAGAATCACAGATTTAGAGTTCCAAGGGACCTTAGAGTCCTAGTCCAACCTCCTCATTTTACAGATAAGGGAACTGAGGCCCTGGGAGTTGACATAAGTCTTGGCCAAGGTCATACAAGAACTAAGTGGTCAGGATTCGAACCCAGGTCCTCTGACTCAATGCACTTCAACACATTGCATGAGAGAGAATTTCAAAGGCAGATCCTGGGGGCCTGGCAAATGGTTGTTTTGATGTGGAGAGATAAACCCTTCAACCTTCCTGGGCACTGGCTCCTCCATACCCTCCTTTCTGCCACTCTGG